ACCCACAAGTCCATCTGATTTAGGGAAAGATTTCATAAACTGAATAGTTCAGTAAAATCTGAGTGCTGTTCTATCTCTCTCCACAGTGGTTTTCCAGACAAAGGAAAGGAAAAATGTGGAAAGGTACGTTGAAAGCATGAGAGAAGAATAATTTTGAACCTATTATTACATTCTTCTCTCCTTACTGATCAGAATACACCATGCTTAGCTAAGAGATTTAGACAGTGAGTAGGACTGCCCACAGTTGAGGGAAAAGGTCCTGCTCCCTTGCTGTCTTTCATCTCATGTAAGCCCCTCTCCTTTGTTCTGGGAGATGTTCTGATCAGACGTACAACCACACACTCACATTCAAGTCAGTGGGACTCCAAACAGTGTAAGGTAGCTCAGCATCAGGCCCACGATCTCTCAGGCTCCTCCACTCACCCTCCTCTTTGATCTCTCCTCCCATGCTTCTCTGATGCCTTTCTTTTTTCTCCTAATTCAGACTCACTGCTTTTGTTTTTGCCTCTTCTCAGTCTCCCAGTATTTCTTTTGATACACAAATACATGGTTTTTCTGCCCTAGCATGTCCTAGTATCATATGTCAACTTCCTAGGTGCTATAGTGAATACCGGCCTGTCCCACCTACCTATAGGTCAACTCAGAATGCAAGGTGCTTCAGAGGGGTAAACCATTCCAGTGATCCTTAAGGGACATATCAGTACACATGAGCCATGTAGGAATAGCAAGTCTCATTCTCATCCAATATAGACACAAGTTCATACACGCGCGCGCGCACACACACACACACACACACACACACTTACTTCCGACATACATAAAACAGTTAAAACTATTGCTAGGTTGAACTACAAATCAATATCTAGTTCTTAAGAAAACAATATGTGTACCACATTAAAATACTCCCTGGTGGAAACTGTGGTACTAGCTGCTTCTTTGGGTAGTGTACTAAGATTCAACATCAAAATAAGAAGTTAGCACACAAACTACATAGACATCTACCTAGCATGAGCTGAATGTCAGAAAGTCCTGGTCCAACATTAACTGAGCAGTGTGTAACAACTCGGGTTTTACAAGGGCAGCCTTTTGTTTCAAAGCCCAGTTCACTAATCTAGACGGCATTTTCCTAAGGCATAAATTTCCAAATAATGATCTCTGGCCCAATAGTCCATAAACTACTTATGCGTGGTTTGTGGAAAGCTGGCTGATCAAATGGAACTGCTTGCTAAGTTGCTTTAAAAGATAGCCAAAAGCACTTGAATATTTCTTTCCCATATAAACAATTGCCAAAGTGAGGTTATATAATCATAAACAGGAGAGGAGATGGTACATGTGACTATCAGTGGGAAAGGAAGAGGACAATAAGCTATGGGAGAAAAGGTTGTTCCTTAAGATAATCTGCCCATTAAGAGATGGCACGTGCTATGAAAATATTTGAGAGTTCCTGCTGTACACCATTACAGTAACACAAGCAAAAAATCTAGTAACTTAAAAAAGGTAGAATGAAGAAGAGAAGATGACACTTCATTTTAGCTAACGTAATATGATCAGCTTTGTCTCAAATTTCTGCAACAAATCTATTAAACATAAGCAGTTTTGCTATAACTGCTTGCTACTGTTTTAGCAGCACACAAAGAAAGACATTTTGCACTTACCTTGTTAAAGACAGAAAAACTCCTTATTTTTTGATGATCGAAGAACTCAAAGTGTCATTTACATAAAATCCTCGAGGTACTACGCAATCATGAACAGTCATCTACCTGCTATTTCAAATAAGCTTACAAAATGGTTAGTTAAAATGTAAAAACAAAATCACCTGCAGAGCAATTGTGGTGTTCTTCGCAGGATATTTCCCCACCAGTCCTTGTTCTTTGCGTTTCTTGAATTTCCTAAAGTAGTCCTGTATCAGGAAGGTGGCATAGAACTTCCCCACGGTTACCTCATCATCTAAATGAACAGACCAGACACATCTCTCCCATGTCAGCACATTTCACCAATAGCCTATATACTCACATCTGATTCAGGAAAACAAATGTGATGGGTGCAATAAGCACTATGCTTTTACTTTATAATAAGATAGCCTAACCCTAGCATAAAGCAGTATTTTAGCAGACAGGCAAGCTCAATATTAGAATTAAGTGAAGTAGTCCTTAAAGTAAAAGAAAATAGAATATTTTGCTAAGTTCTAAAAAGGTGCCTTTTTAATAACATCATAAACATGTTAGTATCTGTACAGGAGTTGAATTACTGGCTTTGGTTACTTTGAACAAATGTATTAAAATCAGAGCTACTGAAATTGAATATGCTCAGAAGAATGACTACAAAAAGAAGATTTCCTATTTTTTTATTTATTCTTGCTCAGTTACTTCCTACCAAACCTAATTTGTTCAGTTAACATATCAAAACACAATTTTTTGAACTGCACCATGAAAGTGGCATCTAATCTATTTATCTGTCTGTGTAAGTTTCTGCACTTTTGCTCCACCTGCATAGTATCTGAGCACCTTACAAGCTAGGTTATATGTGCTTATTATCTTATTGCCAACCAACAACAAAAAATCCGAAATAAGAATTTAAGGGCAAATCCCTCATAAATTCAAAATTAATTAATCAGAGTCTTGTTGAAGAAAGAATTTACTCCTTAGCTACCTGCTAACAATAGTAGTATGTAGGTGCAGAACATAATGTTTTTTATAGTAGAATATTGACTCTGAAATGCTAATAAAGGTAAAGACAAGCTTTGTCAGTTAACTACAATTCAGAAGATGTACCGTATTAAGCAGTCACTTTTGTAAACCATACCATACTTTCATATGGAGAGCCCAGTCTTCAAATACACGTGCCTTATTAAGATATCCAAATCCCACATTCAAGTTCTCAACTCAGCAGTTAACTATGTTACATGCCCATTTTATGAGACTAAAGGCCAGTTGGAGCATTCAAATATGGACTTTTGATGTCCTAGTAAGGCATGCATATTAGAAATGCACAAATATCTTATTGCTAAAAAAAAAATCCACTTTTGGTATTCTTTACTTTCCTGGACTTATATGGAGTGAAGTTTGCTGCCTTATTTGTTTGCTGTTTTCTTCTATTGCCATTTTTAATGCAGTGATAAACCTGTTTGGAAAATGGCTGCTTATTAACGCAGTATTATGCATCAAGGGGAACTGATGTGCTTATAAATGTTGGTGATGCCAAAGTCTACTTTGCTTATTAGTAGGCCAAATCCTGATGGGCGCTGACTATCTGTAATGTCTATTGACCTCATTGTGAAAGACAAGTGCTTAATACATCTCAGGATCTGAGTTAGTAGGGACAATTATAACTTGGAAAAAACAATTCCAAATACACATACAAAATGATGGGGACTAATTTAGCTATAACTACTCAAGAGAAAGATCTTGGAGTCATTGTGGATAGTTCTCTGAAAACATCCACTCAATGTGCAACAGCAGTAAAAAAAAGCAAACAGAATGTTAGGAATCATTAAAAAAGGGAAAGGGAATAAGACAGAGAATATCTTATTGCGTCTAAATAAAACCATGGTAAGCCCACATCTTAAATACTGCACACAGATGTAGTTGCCTAATCTCAAAAAAGATATATTGGCATTGGAGAAGGTTCAGAAAACAGCAACAAAAATGATTAGGGGTATGGAATGGGTCCCAGATGAAGAGAGATTAAAACAACTGGGCTTCTCAGCTTACAAAAGAGGAGTCTAAATGGGGATACCATAGAAGTCTGTAAAATCATGACTGGTGTGGAAAAAGTGAATAAGAAAAAGTTATTTACTTGTTCCCATAACATAAAAACTAGGGGTCACCAAATGAAATTAGTAGGTAGCAGATTTAAAACAAGGAAGGAAGTTTTTCTTCATGCAGCGCACAGTCAACCTGTGGAACTCCTTGCCAGAAGATGTTGGGAAAACCACAACTTTAATAGGGTTCAAAAAAGAACTAGATAAATTCATGGAGGGTAGGTCCATCAATGGCTATGAGCCAGGATGGGTAGGAATGGTGTCCCTAGCCTCTGTTTGTCAGAGGCTGGGAATGGATGACAGGAGAGGAATCACTTAATGATTTCCAGTTCTGTTCACTCCCTCTGGGGCATCTGGCATTGGCCAGTATCAGAAGAGAGGCTACTGGGCTAGCTGGACCTTTAGTCTGACCCAGTATGGCCTTTTTTATGTTCCTGTGCTCTTACGTTCTTAACTTCTATTGGCTGAATTGAGAAAGACTCTACAAACACTGTATATATAATATGTAGTCACACTGTAACATACTTTTGGCGGAAAACATATAATGAGTTCCATCTTACACACATTGTAAATGCTCCACTGTCTTTTTTATATATATCAGGTCATGCAGTATTACTTTGAATAAAATGAAATCTCTCTTTGACTTTGCATTATATGAGAAATCCAAAAACTTAACAGGTTCTACTGTAATATGGTATCCTCTAAGATTTTAAGTGTAATTAACTTATTTCTTTTAATAATGCTACTGTAAGAGTACATAATATTTCATTTTGATGGACCGTTTCCATAGAGAGTTTCAGTACTCTGATGTCTTTTTAGAAAACTAATTAAACCCATCTACTATTCAAAACAAGTTCCTTTCAGAAGTATTGGTGACAGCAAAGTCTGATGTGGGCCAAATTCATTTCAGATGTAACATCACTGAGTTCAGTGAATATATAATAAGGATATATTTGGTGCAGGTGTTTACTTGATGTGTCTTTAAAAGTATCAAAGAACAACAAGAAAAAAACCTAATCCTAATTTGTTTAAACTGGCTTGGTTAGGAGCCCAGTGTGTTTCAGGAAGTCTCTTATTCTTGAACTTGCTCTTGCCAAGTGCTGATGCTTCCTTAAAGGTATTGAGCCTCCCAAACTTCCACTGGCTGCCACGGGAATGGAGAGGTCTCAGCTCCTCACAGGAAGAGCACATCACTGCATAGATTCAGGTCCTTAGGCAGAATGTTTTTCCTTGAGGCTCTGAAGTTAGTTACATAATCTTTTCAATTACCGGAAGATGGATACTGTGGAGCTCGAACTCTAGGGGGTCGATTTAGTGGGTCTAGTAAGGACATGCTAAATCAACTGCTGATCATGCTCCTGTTGACTCTGGTACTCTACCAGATCACAAGGAGAAAGGGAACTCGATGAAGAAATTTTCCCATCAACCCTACATAGTGGGGATGCTGTGGCAAGTCACACTAAGGTACATTGACTCCAGCTACGTTATTCACGTAGCTAGATTTGCATACCTTAGTTCAACTTTGCCTCCTAATGTAGACTTGGCCTTTGTGGTCACTTTCTTTGTTGCACCTGGCAGCTGTTCAACTGACTAATTGCTCTGTTTTGACTGTTAATAAGATTTCCCTGAAAGGCACCTAATCTCAACCTCTCTTTTTTAGTTTAATGAAGACCATTACTTCCTGAAATATATATTGGTCTGACTCTCACAGAAATCTTTCCCCATCCTTAATATTATTTCCTCTCCAGTATTTGAACAGAGTTATTAAGGAAATAATATATGAACTGGTTTGTGAAAAGAACAAATGTATAGAAATGAGAGACATTATATCACAAACAATATGGGCCACACCGAGCATGCCTCAAGCCAGTCCACGATGCTGCACAGTAGCCACTTTTGCACAGCAGCTGAGTGTGCCCAGAAGCATGGGCATACACCTACTTTTTATGTGCAAATTAGACAGATTGAGTTTCCAGCTGCCCAATTTGTGTACGTAAATTGCAGTCTCGGTGTGCAAAAGAGACGCACATGTACTTTATCAGGCACAATCAGTTGTACGTGGAAACCTGGCACACAAAGTTTGAGACTAGGCTACAGAAAGTCATTTTTTATTTTCTTTTAGGGTAACACACGTAACTAGAGAAAAGCAGGGAAGTAGCTAAGTAGAAGTGACCACACTATGGATAGATTTGTAATTACAGCCAAAAGAGGAGCAAACGAAATTATTTATGTGAAACACATTTTTAAACAAGGCAGAAAGTGTCAGGTGAAAGAGAACTGGCAAAGGAAGGGGGGATTTATAGGAAAATGTATTTTCCAAAAAGGAGATGGACCTCAGGAGGTCTTGGTATGTCTTCTGTCCTACATTTTCTTAGATTAATAACATTATTTAACGTTAAACCCAGCATGTATCTCATATTTAGTCTTTTGCAAGGGACTTTCTTGAGCTGAAATCAGTTGTTAATTACTAATGATTTAATGAAATCAGTTTACATCAATTTGTAATATAATTCTTGCTAGTTTTTCACATTGCATCTACTTGGCTCAAAAAATGTATTTTGGTTTCTTTCCATTCTGCCAATCAGAGAATTGATTGGTTCTGATCCTATTATGGTGGTATCGTGCATGTAGAAGCCTACTAAAAGATCTAGCCTTCATCAGTACAACCCAAGAGAAAAAACCCTGGGGAAACATTGTGGTTTGTCCTATTTAAATACCATAAATGTAGCAGATTTTGAAATATAGAACCAAGATACTTTGCTCATATTTGATTAAAGACTTACTTAGAGACTATTACTTAACTATTAGCTTTTATATTGCCATATCTTATTTTTCTATTGAATATCCAGTTTAGGTAAGAACAACTTTATGTGGTATACCAAATATTTTACGTTCATAGAAGATTTGAATGTAAAATACTTGTATTTCACTTTTCTCCTTTCAGTAGAATAAAACATCATTAATTTCTGTATTTACTTATTCATGAAAATTATATTAACTAGGCTCTGCAAAGAAAGAAAACAGGACTGAAACAGAAAGATTTGATCTTGTCTAGTAACTGGAAAAAGGACTTGACCACATGCTCTTATACTATACTTTTATAAATCTTTGGTGACAATCTGTTTTTTTACAGTATTAATTATGATCCAAATTTTCAACCTAGCTACACTGATGAATTACATTTTCAAAGTAAGTATTATGGTACTAGCAATGGATTTTAGTATAACTGAAAGTTAATATATAGCTTGTAATCAGCAATGAAATGAAACCGAAGTTTAAACAGTGAACTAGAGTGTGCACCTATAGAAGACTAATTCTAAGAATATAATCTTTGAAGATTCTCTGTTAATTTATACAGGCACAGCGAGCTATTTTGAAGCATGCATCCATATTTCAATAAAAACGTAGGGGAATAAAGAGGCAAGAGGCAACACTAATTCCATGCCACCACCCTAAAACAGAATTGCTTCAGAATATTCTGAAAGACTGATAGTTGAAAGGAACAGAGAGGCTGCAGAAAAAGCTCAAGCACATAGTTACAACAATAACAAAGCAATTCATATATGCCATGCAAGCACTCAGGTGTAAGGCTAAAAAGAAGAGAGTAGAACACAGACAAAAAGGTTGTTTTAAATGTGCAGTATCATTTCCCCTTTTGGAAGTCCAATTGTCTATTTTTTGGCATCATCCCCATTTTTAGCTGGCAGCCATCTCACCAGTAGCAAGTGGCTCCCTCCAGCGCCAAAGCTAATGCTGCTTTTTTTAATCATGCTGAAGAGCAGTGCAGCTAGCATGTTCTCTCTTCCCTAGACTATGAATGTCACCTTCAGAGAGAGATCAGCCTCCATCACCATCGGGTCTGGGATCCTGAGTCTGCTTCCAAACCTGAGTCTGATCAGTCTTGAAAGTATAAGCTACAAAACATACCAGATTATTACAATGGATCGGTTTCTTGGATGTCTGACTATATTATTGGTATGGATGATATTGTGCAACAGATCCTGCACCTTTAAAACTTGAAAAAGCAAGTAAAAAACAGTCATCTAACCCTACAGTATCTTACTATGCATCTGTATAGTCTAAACCTGAGTCTGATCAGTCTTGAAAGTATAAGCTACAAAACATACCAGATTATTACAATGGATCGGTTTCTTGGATGTCTGACTATATTATTGGTATGGATGATATTGTGCAACAGATCCTGCACCTTTAAAACTTGAAAAAGCAAGTAAAAAACAGTCATCTAACCCTACAGTATCTTACTATGCATCTGTATAGTCTAAAAAAGATATATATATATATATATATATATAATAGGTATATATTTATATATACATATATAACAAAAGATTTGACATGTCATTTTACAGTACGTAATAAGTAACGTACATGCCTCATAGTTCTTCCCAATGTACTGAAATCAGTGGAATTTTAAAATCTATTTACTTTGGCCTATATTCCAATCTCAGTTATTCAGGTGTAAATCTGGACCAACTCCATTGTCTGCAGACAGTGGAATTGCTCTGAATTTAAACGAGTGTAACAGAGTGAAGATTTGAGCCTTTTGGCTTTATAAATTTAGCAAAATGTTATTTTTTTAAAACAGGAAATACAAAGATTTTAGTTTTCTGCCAGAAATATTCAAAATATAAAAGAATATAAGCAAAAACATAATGGTAAGCTTAATTAGTACAAAATATAAGCTCTTTATCTTGCTGAATGCATTGAAATCAATTGTATAGCTAATACAGGTATTTTTGCAAAAAAGAAAATTAATATAAAGTATCTCTTTTTTGTTTCCTTTCAATTTAAGAAAGGTGTATTAATCAGCCCTGTCATTATATGATCTAACATAACAAAAATATAATATTCTATATGTTTATTTTAGCATTATAGCTTACTGTTGGCTAATGACATTAGGGTTCTGATTTTACGCTGAAATATTTCTACACAATATCTAGTTTCCTCATGATTTATAAAGTCTAAAATGTACCAAACATAGCTTATTGTAAAGTTTATCCCACTAACCGCCAGCTGGAGGGACAACTTGATCAAGGAGCTTCATGCTGGTTTTCTTCCAGATTTTCTTTATAACCGCTCTAAGTTCTTCATTTGCCTGTTCTAGGTTACCTGTTAGACAGACAGACATAATGATTATGCTACATGTAACTTAGAAAACAATTACATTTCAAGTAGTGCTTCAATTAATGATTCTTTAGTCCTTACATTAAATTGTTTAGTTTAAAGTAGTGATACTCAAAGTGTGGTCAGTGGACCACTAGTAGCCTGTGACCATCTTGCAGGTGAGTCATGGGCTCAGGGCTCCCCTGGAGCAGGGACTGGCTCCACTCCCCCCCCCCCCCCCGCGCCCGCTCGCGGGCTGATCCAGCTTGTGAGGGGAAGAAGCAGCTCCACATGCTACCGCCCCCTGCCCCTGGCTGGGGTAACGGCAATGTAGGAAACCGCTTACCTGGAGGCTTTCCCCACTGCTCCCACTGGCCGGAATCATGGCCAATAGGAGCAGTGTGGGGCAGTGCCTGGGAGTGGAGGGAGGCACAGAGCTAGGTAACTGCCCCCAGTTCCCTATGCCCAGACCTCACACACCCATCACCTTCACACACACCCTCCCACCGAGACCACATACCACCATCCCACTCCTGCATCTTCCCTCCCACTCTGAATCCCCACCCTTAGTCGGTTCCTGCATCCTATGTCCCAGCCAGACCCTGCCCCCCCCCCACACACACCTATTTTGCCATCATAGGTGATTGGCTGGTGGTCTGTGGAAAGGTTTTCAATGAGTGGGGTGGGCCTTGGGCCAAAAAGTTAGAAAACCACTGGTTTAAAGAAAAAAAATGCTCAGGATGCAAAATACCCTAAGATCCAGGAAAAATTAGGGAGACTGAGTTATTCATTTGGATTTATGCAAATTCTATTCAAAATAGACAGTGAAAGGTATCTTCTCAAGGCCAATGTACATGCTGTAGCCAGAAGCATTGACTAGCATGGATAGTAGGAAAATAGCATCCTATATTACATTAATGAAAAATGAAGGAAGGGTTGTTAGTTTTTAATAGCCTATCATAGAATACTAGGAAGGGACCTCGAGAGGTCATCGAGTCCAGTCCCCTGCCCCCATGGTGAACTCCTCTATTACTACACTAGTCTAGGGGAAGCAGACAAAGAGGAGAGATGCAGTGTGTGTAAAGTGGGTCCTGGATCCATCCTGCTTCCACTGCAAAGTTGCTCCAAGCTCAAAGGCAATGGGTGACTCTTTCAAAGCCAATGTGTGGTGCTCTCCCTTCTCTCCTGCTGAGCCCTAAATCCATTTGATCATGGGAACAGCTTCTGGATATAGGTTTCAAGCTCAGACAGCAGCCTGTTGAAGCAAGAGTCCCTTCTCTTGCAGCACAGAGCTCAGCCATGAGAGTGCCCACAGTGCTACGTAAAGAGGCTTATTCTGAGCAGCTTGTTATGGGCAATGGAATATGAAGTTTTCTGGGGGAATGGAGGCACCACCAGATGATGGGGAGCAATATGTAATGAAATACTTTGGAATACAAAAAAACTGAAAATACAAACAATTGGAAGGAAAAAGGAGACAGAGACAGTAAATGACAGAAAAGGATGAAGTTATTCTAGGGCATAGTTAACACAAACCATTTAGTGAAACTGTAACACCTTTTTTTAAATGTGCAGTGATAAAAGCCAGCTAAACCCACTCATATTCAGCCTCCACAATATATGCCAGTATCTTTGACCAAATATGATTTTGTAACGATTTCCACCCTAGGCCTCTACCGCAGCATTCTCATCCAATTTCTAACCCTCAAAATAAGAAAAGAATGCTCCAGCCATTCAGGAATATAACCCACAATCCAAAGCCTGTTTCAGGCTTGCTAAAGTACAGCAAGAGGTAATTACGTAGAATATCACATCTCCTGAATTTTTCCTCACCAGTATTTTGACATACACAGTATCATTTTCACTTATATTATCTTACCTTCTGTTTTGATCTTCAGCGCAGTTCTAACTAAGGCAAATAATGTAGCATTGAACATGACTGTTCCATCACTGTTCAGAGGCATGTTCATGGCTACTAACCTCTGTAAATGGAAACAAAAAGAAAACAAAATAAATCTTTTATAAAAATTAATTTCTGAGCAACTATATTTGAGCAACAATGTTTAATTGTATTTGTTTATCTAAAAAGCTGAAATGTATGAAAAGAATAACACCTAAGAAGGCACGGAGAAAAAAAATCACATCCTTTAGCTGATAAAATGTCTATTGCTCTGCAAGAGAATATTTTTGCCTGAGACTACAAATGGTCCACGGCATTCCAAAAATCCATCTAACTTGAATACAGTTTATAGAGGATATTATTATTAACACCATTTTTCCCCAGAAAAGCTCAAAATGTTTGGTGCTTTTCACGTTTTATTCATTAAGCTCCCTTGCAGACATCAGGCCAGACCCCTGGAAAGGCAATTGCATAAAGCAGAAACGTTGGGCAGTGTGATGCAAATGTGGCTTTGGGTATGCAAAAGTGTATGTTCCTGATCCAATTGCCTCTGCCTCTGCAGTACCATGATCTTGGCACTGAGTTACAGGAGTCTGAGGTCTGCTCTATCTTACACCACAGGGCATACCACACTAATACCAACCCTGGAACTTTCCCTTGCAACAAACCCCGGTGCCAGCTTTGTCCACATATTTACTCTGCTCACACCATTGTTGGACCTAACCATGTCAGTTACAAGATCAAGAATACATATTCCTGTTCATCCAGAAATATAATTTATGCCATCATGTGCCTAAAGTGTCCGTTTGCTATGTACATTGGACAAACTTCTCAGACACTTCGCCAAAGAATCAGTGCACACAAAACAGACATAAGACTCTCTCACAGAGAGAAAGCTGTTGCTTGCCATTTCAGCCAGACTGACCATTCCCTCCATGACCTTAAAACATGCATAGTGCTTCAAAGAGACTTTAACTCCAGACTTCAACAAGAAGCTTCAGAATTGTCATTCATGCTTAAATTGGACACGTTATGTATGGGTTTAAACAAAGACTCTAATTATCTCACCGATTACAAAGATAGCTTCCCCAATTATCACCCCTAATGTCATTACCTCACAGAAACTTCCCCTATTGTCACCCCTATGTCATTACATCACAGACACTAACCTTCTCCCCTCACCCCCACTCTGTTCTAAAATTTGATTTGTCAATTTCACATGCATTCATTTTTTTGATTGTATCACTTTGGTATATAAGGTTCTGCCGATTTTCTTCCACATATTGATCTGAGGAAGTGGGTCTGGACCAGGAAAGCTCATTACCTAATAAACCATCTTGTTAGTCTTTTAAGTGCTACAGTAAAACTCCGATGGACCAGCATCTGATGGTCCGGCACCATCAGGAACCCGGAAGTGCTCCGGGCAGCCAGACCATTGGAGCTGCTCTGCCCCCAGCTTCCCCAATTCAGCTGCTGCTAAAACTGACCAGTGGCTGAATCGGGGACGCCTAGGGCAGAGCAGCTGGAGTGCTGCCGGGTTGGTCCCGTAGCACTGCCCCTCGGGGTTGCGGGACCCAACCCAGCAGCACCCCAACTGTCCCCAATTCAGACGCTGCTGAAACTGACCAGTGGCTGACTCCAGGAAGCCCAAGGCAGAGCTGCTCTGCCCCGGGCTTCCTGGAATCAGCCCCTGATCAGTTTCAGCAGCAGGTGACTTGGGGACGCCTGGGGCAGAGCAGCTCGGGTGCTGCTGGGTTGG